CCCCCGCCCCTCACAGCAGCCAAAACCTCAGCCTCTGAGGCTCCAGCATTGCAGATGAAAAGAACGAGCGGGCGCAGTGGAAGCTTACCAAACATAGAGCGGCCATCATGCCTTGCACCAAAGAGCACTGCTTGAAAACAGAGGCAGTACGTCAAGTCCAAAACAGAACAGATGATACCTTAGCATCCTTAGCAGCCGCTCTGGATAAGACAGGCCAGACCCATACAAATCGAGAAGGTGTGCTAAGATAGACCATCGTCATTTCAAAACCGGCTTAAAAGCTAAGGCTATCTCTGGCTCCCGCATGGCGGCGCCAGGGCTCATTCGGCAGGTTCGAGAGTCATCCCGGCCCGGATGTACTGACTCAAGTGGCACCCTGCCGATGGAAACTGGACAGGTCCTTGTCGGCCATTCTGTAAGCAACGCCTGGCTCCCACTCCGGGAAAGGCACGAAACACTGCACCCTCCCTAAGCCCAAAGCCATTCTTCAAAGACAGCCTGTGCTCCAAGAGCCGAGATGCCGCAAGTCTGAAGATATCCTGAGCTCGAAGATGGAATGCACAGAAGCTTCAGACTTTGGAAGGCAGAAAAGATGCTCAACAACCTTAAAAAAAGTTACAGGCAACCGGTACTGAATCTTCATCACCACCCCACCGCCTGGTCTTCTTCAAGCTGCAACAGAGAGGAGGCAGTTCAAGGCATACGCATCATATATTATGGTTCCGATCAGGCGGCTGGTCGGGGCCATGCCGCCCTCCAGAAAATGTAAGCTCATCATGGAGATGCCTGTCGGCTGTAGGGCAGTTTCCGTACCTCCCTGTCAAGCAGACTGGGGATCTTAGGTCGCTGTTCACAGAACATGCCGTTAGCATTGCGTAGTCTGCGAGTGAAATCGTATAGCATAATTTGTCGTAGTCAGGCAGTCTATTGTACTCTATAGTATCCACAATGCAAGATCAGTTTCGATAACACCTCTGAGTTGACATTGAGCGTGCTCGGCTAAGGGCTTTGCCCTTGCAGCTCGGTGTTCTGAGGTTTAGGTTTCTGAACTGTCCTACTGCTATGACAAACCTGCGACAATACAGTCGTTATTGAACTTCGTACAGTTACAGTATATGGGTTTTCTGAGAAAAAACATGATCTCGGTACCAACCCTCACTGCGATACCTAACCAATAACGATAGGGCCCACGCCTTAAGACTACAGATCTGGCAGCAGGCTATAAGATCACGTGCTGAAGGCTGCTCTACCATGCCACAGAGGTCGAAGGCATCTGGCTTCTTCACTCCATGAGAAAATTGTGAAGATCTACTTACGAGGCACGGTATGGGCCCGGAAACTGCTGACCTGTAACCCCAAACCCGCAAAAAAGCATCTTCAAGCCGGGTCCGAGGTGCACATGCCGGTGAAAGGAACGGCTGCGCGCACGAAGCGTCTCGCAGCTCGCTGGACTCTCCACGTGCTGTACTCGTAGTCCTGAAGTTTCATTTCTGACTCACACGCTAGCTGCAAAAATCAAAGCAGCAGCCGGAGACTTGATGCCAGATCGATCATGCCGGCTTGAAGCGTGTCGCAACCCCATGTGCCCGCATCCCGCGTCCCGAGCGCTTCGAACGCCACTAGCTCCGAAATCTACGACACGTCTCCGAGTGGTTGGATGCTAAACATCGTGACCAGCCAAGGCTTGGATCTCTCTTTCGTAAGTGTATCGCAAACCAGGCGATGCCGAAAGCCGGGGGAGGGCGTGGCCTGTGGAGGCTTGGAAAACTGAGGTCTGAAGGCTGGAAAGCGCTGAGTGGCCGCCGTGGGAAGCCCCAAAAGGGATAGCTTACGGCATCCTGGACGAGGTGTTTCCATTGTTATTTTTTCCCTGCCGGAGGTGCAAACTCTGAAAAGCTCTTCAAGGCTTCCTGCTACAGAAGTTGAAGCATATTATCCCTTAGGCTTGAGGCTCACGTCACGGATGTCTCACCCAATGCCATTATGAGGAGCTGTGCCTTGGCTCGTTTGTCTCGAGCTTTTGCTTGGCTGGCCATGCCGTCCGCGCCGCCCTCATAGCTGGACTCCATCTCGTATAAAACTCGGATCTACAGGTTTCGAGTTATTCAACTTAGGCATACTAGGTATAGTCGGGCCAACTCTTCAAGGCTTGAAGACAGTAGCGACCCTGATATCCTTGAGTTGATGCATGGTCCCTTTGCCCTTTTATTTGCAGCCTAGCTCGGAAACCGACTGTGGGTTAAAAAGCAGCCAGAGGCCTGAGCCAACATGCATGCGGGCTCGGTAATCGCAATCTGAGTAGCAGTAGCAGTGTTATCATGATGATGGCAGCGGTAGTGATAGTCGTCGCAATATGATAATAATAATCATTATTATTATTACTGCTATTATTTTTATTATTAGTAGTAGTAGTAGCAGCAGCAGTAGTCTTCGTCGTCGTTCTCGTCGTCGAAGCCGCTTCGGGGCTGTCGGAGCCCAGGCTAACCAACCCGAGACTCCGCACCAGGCTTGCGAAGCAAGGGTTTTTTTTCTCGAAACATAGGGGTTTCCGAAAATAGGGGACCCAAATATAGCACCCTAAATAGTAGGATCCTTACTGTAAGGACCTTAAAATAAGGTACCCCCTAGTTTCGGAAGATCCCACATAGACTTCCCCAAACACACTCGAGCTCGCCCTGGTGATACTCTGATAGCAGAAGAGAGCAGCAAACCAAGGTCGGGTCAACCGAGTAGCAGTTAAAGCGAATGTGCTTGTAGCGTGTGTGTGTGTGTGTGAAGAGTCTGAGCCGTGTGTGATCTGAGCAGGACTCGTATCAATTCTCTACACGGTTTTCACAGCAAGAGGCAATAGCCCACAAGTGCAAAGCTTACCCTAAACAACCCTCAGTCCAGCGCCCCAATGCCCCTTGATGAAACAAACTGAACGCATCATGTGCTGCCTGAAACTCGGGGCACAAGCCCTTCAATTTCCATAGCCATATCCCTCAATGTAAAGACAAACTCAAACAGTCACAAACCGGTCGGAGGACTCGCCGCAGATCTTTTGCCCTGCGCCGAGGCGGCTGGAGGGCTCGGAGTTTGCATGTGTGCAGCTTTTGGGTTTGAGGGTTGCTTGTCAGCCGAGGGTGGGTTGAGGGCTTTGAATTCCAGCATTTGACATTCTCCGATCTCGAAAGGGTAAAGAAGTGGGTCTCGAGTAGTCAAAAAACATGCGTATTCATCTTCGTTACTGGATCTGAGAAGTTCTGAAAAGGCTTCACGTGGTGTGCGGGGCCCAGGAGAGAGGGGCACATATCAGTTCACAGTGCGCTGAAGCCTTCAAGCGGAACACAAACACATCACTCACGGCCAATTGACTGCGCAGTACGTCGAGTATAGAACTTGACCATGCAGCTTAGCACCGTCTTCAAAGGAAGTCCGCCGTACAAAATGACTTCTACTGAAATGTTCTATCAAGGCTTTCCTATAGTGGCGATACTTCTGTGGGGTTTCGTGGCTTCTGCCACGGGGTTTCATGGTCTAACCTTGTCAAGGAAGTTACGGGTTCCACAACTGGGGCTGAGGCTTTAAGGCGTCTAGGCCCTAGACACCTTTGGTGCGAGCCAGAGATCTGAACAACACCGAAAAGCAAAAACATTCGATACTAGAACATATTATGCACTCGGCCTTCCCTGCTCAAAGGCTTTTTCCGCCACTGACATGACGACTCCAGACAAGCATCGGCTTCGGTTCGGGGTTTTTGGAGTTGTTAGAGTGCCCGGTTTAGGGCTTCCTGTAGAATAGGGGGCCAGGGGTTTGGGTTCGATTTGGTAGTGATTTCAGGTTCGGGCTGCAGGCTCTGGGTTCCAAGCAGCTTCGGGGGGGGGGGGGGGGGGGCTTTATAATTGGGGATCATGGAGCTCTTCATGGGGTTTAAGCCTACAAGCTCCTGGGGAGTCAAGATGAAGGATCCTAGGCCCAGCATCAGGACGGCTTTCGCCGGACGCAACAGCGGCCGCAAAGTCGTGGGAGGAGCCGACGCCCTGATGATGGAAGCCGTGAACCCTAAACCCCAAACTCACAAACT